AACAATGTAATTTTTCGAGATACATGTGTTACGTCCTGGACTCCACGGTCCCCTTCTGTTTGGAACCAGACATTAACTAGCTTTAAGATTTGCACCTTAGAATTAATTTTTAAGTAACAATCCTTGAGCAGAGAACAGAGGACCTATTGAACTAAGATAAAATTCGTATCGCAATTTTTTATCTAATCACTCTTACCGACTTTCAAATGAGTATCGGTCAGTTAATCAACAAGCAGCCCGGATGTTTAGTTCACGAATATAAACTTAGATAATTTAGGCGGTCCGCTAATCTCTAGCAAGGAATGTTCGGGCACCGAAAATGAACAGGAAATTGCACGTGCAGATAACAAACTTTAAACAAATGTTGAGCGAGTCAGGAGGAATGATTGTCGATGATTGGTCCTCTTGCCTGATCGGATTAGCAAATGAAAAGATCGACATTTTAATCAGTAAAGAGTGGGAGAGTAAAATCTAAAGACGATTGGCAAAAATCAGAAAGGTTAACGCCCCGAGATCATCGTATATAAGGCGTTGGAACACCAGAGAGAGAACTTCATAACCAGCATTACGATTATTAATTCAGTTCTATTTCTTCTCGTGCAATTCAACAATTTAACTTAGAGTCAATTCGGTCATACAAAAAGATACTCGCTTTTCTTGTTCGGTCTGAAATTCGACAATCCAAACGATTCTTAATTTGATATCGATCTCGGCACGTAAATCCGAGTGAACAGTGCGACTCGTGACAACTTCCATCAGAGGAGACGACTAATTCATTCCACCTGAATCCAGCCGACAGACTCCTGACTTTTGGGCGAAGCGAAGCAACCACTCATCTCGACATTCTACCGTAAACAATAAGTAGTAAGTACTTACTAACGCAATAGTTTTGCAAAACGATCTAAGATTCCCACGCACACAGTAAAACCTACTTCGAGACGGTTGATATTAGGAAGACAGGATTAAATTCGACAGTTCAATTAATAACTGCTTCATTTAGTAAGCTCTTCTCCTCGACATCCTAGTTGGACTAGCTGTTCGCGACCTTGTGTCGTTCTGAACAGCTGCCGATTTCCTTTCAATTGGACTAGCTGTTCGCGACCTTGTGTCGTTCCGAACGACTGCCGATTTTCTTTCAATCGGACTAGCTGTTTGCGACCTTGTGTCGTTCTGAACAGCTGCCGATTTCCTTTTCTGTCAGATTAGCGACTCACGACTTTGGTTGTCGTTCCGAGCCGCTGCTGACTTTTCATTCCTGTCGGATTAGCGACTCACCACGCCAGTTGTTCTGAACCACTACCGATTTCCAATCACCACTGTCAAACTTTAAGCAGTAGCAAATCGTATGTAGTTGTCATACGACCGCTCCGAAAATCAACCGTGATTCTAACAACGCGATATTTAAAATCAAACCTTGCGACGGAGAACCGCTGCCCGTAGAGCGAGCGGACTGAAGCATACCAACCCCCGTCTACCCGGCAGTAGTCTAAATAGTGACGGTGCTCATTTATATAAGGATTTAAAATATTGAAAATNCTAACAGTAATGTTAATAACAAACTCCCAGGATTAAAAATAATAACAATGCCAATGTATATTCAAATTCACACCAAACTTCATCACACGTCCAATTATTTAATTCAACTTCCGTAAGAATATATTTTTTGAATAAACCTAAATGTTAATATTTTGAATAAAAATGATTTATATACTCATACAAATGAAACGGCTTTAACTAATTAAATGAACTTTTGAACAATCCATCCTGAAAACTCATTCCTGTAATCTCATCACGTGATCGCCAGGTCCTGTCCCAGGTAAATTAAATTTGTTTCTAAGACCTAAAAGAGGACCGACNAGTGAGAAGACGTTAGACAAGTAATATCGGGAAGTCCGTTGACTTGACTACGTCGTTGAACAGTCTCACTCGACTCGCATGCTTGCCTTATCTCATTAGGTCAGTGTGCCGAGATATAATACACAAAAGTGTCGTGTTGCGTCAAGTGTGTCAAGTTGCGTTCCTCCGTTAGGACCCGATCGTAACCGTAGGTCAGGACGTAACACATGAAATGTCATGCATTTCCCGATAGAAAATGAACCTAAAATATTAAATAAANTTTGCTACAGAGATCTTTTATATTACAATATTAAACATTTTGGCAACAATTATATAATACAAGTTTTATGTTTTGCAATGATGATAGATAATATTATGAAGTGGTCTTTCGTACTACCCATGAGGTGCCACTAATAGCGCATTAGGTTTTTTAACGTGTGCTTTCGCCTGTAGTCCTATTCTACCACATTTTATTTTGCATGTGTTATTTATAAATATGGATGTCGGATATATAATGTCTTTAAATCTTAGTTTATCTGGCATTCTAACGCACACAAGCGAGAACGTTGTCCGTGTGCGCTCGTGGAAGTGTGCAGACATATTATGTTGATGTATGACGACGATTCTCGCTTGTATGCGTATCCCCACCACGTCGGTGTTTTCATAGCACGGAGTAGAACCATGTCCACAAACTTAGCACGGAATAGAACCATGTCCACGAAAAGCTATGACAGAAACTCTTATGGCCGTGGCCGCTCTCAGGCTTCTCTCTGCTAGTAGCAATCGTTTATCCACAATAGTGTTGCGTTATTTATCCCTAAGAAAAAGCGCCCCATTTGCCCCTAGATCTTCGCACCTACTTCGCGAATTTTTGACGCACTGTATACGCACAAAAGACTGGGCTGTCATTACGCTGTTCTTACTCTAGATGCACGCTGATTAGCGGATCTTTATTCATTAATATTTTGTTAATTATTGGGAATTTTCCAAAGTGGTATAGGACTTTTCCTCTTAGAATAACTCCTTCTACCTACCTACGAGCGGTGAGACGGTACTTATTAAACACTCTGTATATTAATTTAATATCGCCGCTGCTCGCTGCGTACCGCCTAATATCGCCCGATCGCAAGAAGCTGAGTCGCGCCGCGCTTGTTTGTTTCTCCGCCTCTCATTGCTAAGACATTGCATGAAAGAAGCCATTCTTCTTTACAGCTGATAATCGTGCACGCTTATAGAGTCCGATCATTGCCCCCCGCGCGCTCATTGGCTCACATTTATTAATTTATATCTCAATAACTATTGCACATTTTGCAAAATGGTAAATAACTTTTTTGTTCGGATTGACCCGATGTACCTACACACTTCGGCTGATTCATTCGTTATGAGACACTCTGTATATCACAATTGTATCTATTTTATTACAATAACTTTTTGTCACAGATCAATAATTACTACTTTGTCACATATAACGCGACATGAATATGTCACTTTTGTATAAAGAACACGGGGGAAGAATTTGATAAGTCACATTTTGGTAATTTTGGAGAAGAGTGATTTTAAAGTTTGAAACGTATGTGTATTTCTGTTACATTTTACAAAACTGTTCATATCTTGAAATCTATCACAAATTTCTTTTTCTAGTTTTGGATAATTAAAATATTTCATTTGAACTATCAAATAACATTAAAAACAGAAAATCTAAAAATATTGACTTTTTAAGTTCTTCCTCTGTGGTCTTCATATGTTAATTGTTATTGATGTATCATACAATCTTCTAAAGAATTTTCTTGAATAGACACGTGCATAAAAACGTGTATGTACTGTTCAATATCCTACTAAAGTGGAAGTAATTGTATATAAGCTTTCGAGATATATTATTAATCATAGACGTAAACGTCCAGACGGAGCGCGGCGTCCGCGCACGGAGCGACCGCTCGTCGCGAAGTGCGTCCCGTTGCGTCGTCGGCGCTGGCGCAGGGCGGAGCGAGAGCGAGAGCGAGAGAGCGCCGTCGATTCGACGCGAACCGCGACGGCGCGAAACATTAGAAATACGGTGCTAACCTCGTTCCGCGCGTTGCGACTCAATCGCACGTTGTCATATCGTTGTCGTCCCAATGGAACTCGCTGCTGCAGCTGTCATCGTTCGAAGTGTCGCCGACGTCGTCCGTGTACCCGTCGTCTAATATATCGCTCAAAGATTCTTCTGGAGCAGCTAGATCGACCACGTGGTCACCGAACAAATCCTCCGTTATTATATCCGCGAAGTCGAACGATTGCTCCGCTGATCGTTCGAAAGATTCCACGAACATCGAGGCTCTAACGTTTTCGTCTTCGGAGATATCACCCACGTTCGCGACGTACCACTCTCGAACGAATTCGACCAGATTGAACGATTCGTTGTTAGACAACGCGGTTTCGACGCGAGTAGCTAGCGCGTCGGCGAACAAGAAGCGCAAACGCAACGTGTGCGCGAAATTGTCGTTGTTTTCTTCGAAATCCGATTGCTGTCCGTACATCGGTACGAGCGAATCGACGCGCAATCGTTCTCGCGGTACCATCGTTTCGTGAAATGTATCGGTTGCTTCGTTACACACGGAACAACGCGCGTGCAGCGCGACGAGCGAATGGTTAATCGCTATATTAGATACGCGTGAGATAACGGTAACTATCGGTATTGTTGCGCAAAAAAATAACGGCGTCGAGAAACGAATTACGCGCAACACGGAAACTACGCGCTGCTGTAATCGTCGCTCTACCGAGTTACGCGGTATACTGATTTTGCGCGAGTGAGTGCCGTGAGTGTGGTGCTCTTCGCGCGACGGTTGTTCTATCGCAGCGTTGTTACGGTGATACGGATGCGAAAGCAACGTCGCATCCGTATCACGGAGCGCGCAACGAACGCGCGCGTCTTATCGCAACGTTTGCTTTCGTATCGCGATAAGACGCGCGCGTTCGTTACGTGGCGACGCACCCTTCCGAGCATTCTTTGACTCGTTGCACGGTGTTACGCCGCGTTGTTCGCCGACGCGACGCGCTCGTTCGTTAATTGCGCGCACGGAACAACGTTCCGGCGTAACGCGAATCGCTTTTGTGTCAAAAAATATGTACCGAGTGCGCGAACGAACGTATTTCGAAAACAGCGCGCGTGTTGGAATTCGAGTCGTTCAGTACATACACGTAACTCTGAACCACACCGATTCGCGACACACCGGGCACATCTTGAGATCTTTGGAACACAACGGACAACACACCGTGTGTCTGCACGGTAAAAACAATACATTCGATTCGTTCGACATGCAAACGCAACATGGTCTGGATCCGGTTGTTTTCATAGACGCGCTGTCCGATACGACCGGGTCCAGAGTCACGACGGTGCTTTCGAAATCTCTGGTTGGACAGGTGAGCGGACTTCGGTGTTCGATCAGATTCGCATCTACGTCTTCGAAGCTCGATAACAACGTCGCGTACGCGCCGGACGGATCGTCGTCGATGAATTCTATCGTTGGGATCTCAGCGACCGTTCGTTGCAACCACGTGGTAGCTTTGTCGAGCTGCGAGCGTATTCGCGTCAAGTGCGCGTGCGATCGACCTATCCATTCGGTGACCCTGGAGTGCTCGCGCTCCACACCGGCGCGAACAGTGTTGTATCTTTCCAACAATCTGTCCACCAGATCACCGTGTCGCGCGACTTTGCGCTCCGTAACGGGAAAATACGAATCGTTCGGATAAAAGAACAACGTTTGAACGTACGCGCAATCGTTGTTGTGAGCGTAGTGTTCGGCTATGGGATCGATGTTTCGTCTGATTTCGAGCGCGTTGGTCCATCTGTGCAGAGCCAAACCGCAGGCGAAACAAACGCAAACATCCTCTCGACCGATGTAAAAGAATCCGGCGTACGTCATGGTAGACGCGCTGGGCATGCGCGCGTCATTGACCCACGACGTTTCGAAAGTCGCGCGTCTGCGATACGGTGGTTCGTAATACGGGTACTTTGTAACTTTTTTTGATCGAGGGTACACGGAAAACATATTGCTTTTCCTTCGCGCGATCGGTGTTCGAACGAAAAACACGATTGCTATTTTGATAGGTCGGACTTACTTCAATCGCGCCTCGAGGCAATCGGTTGCAACGGCAACGGTGAGAAATCGAGCTCGTATCGCTCGGTAGCGGAAACTCGTTGCGTTTCAAGTGCGTTAAGTCGAACGAAGAGCCGTTCGATAACTTCGACGTCTCCGTGTTCATTTCGGAGTCGCGGGTCCAACGTTTCGGTGTTTGGTTGTCGAGTTGTCAAGGGAAAAAAAGGACGCTATCGCGACGTGATTCATTTTTTGTCACTTCGTAGAGCGATATGAGTTCCGTGCGTTTCCATTGGTCGCCGAGTTGTCCACTGGCGCCTAACGGTCGCTAGACGTCGCGTATCGCGCGATTACGAAAATGCTCCGCGAAAGCTCGATCGCGCTTTCGCGATCCGTGCGAACGAACGAACGAGCGGTTGCGTCGAGTCAACCGTTGTTATTTTTTCCAGACAGCGATACCTTTGCGAACCACCGTTCGTCTCGCAATGCGCTTCCGATAGAACCGTCGCACATTTACGCGAGGGTGCGACGGTTCTCTCGGAAGCGCAGCTCCCTATCGCGTTGAAACACATCGAGACGTTGCTGATCGCGACGCCGTTGAGTCACGCGCGTTCGAGAATTGGTCATCCGGATGCTCGTCGGTCACCCGGACACGCGCGAGGTCGATCGGATTCGACTGTGTCGACGCGTGATTAGATTGCGACCGTTTTGCTCCGTTAACTCCTTGTTTACCAGATCATCGCTTTGCCGGAGAATCGCAAACAACCGAGGGTCTTCATTCGCTCGACGTTTTTCCAAAAAAACAAAGATCTCTTGTTCACCGCATCGCGCGTTTCGTTCCGAGCGGTGTTTTGCGAAAAAATAACGGTGCCGTGTTCGCAAAAGTAAAGGTTGTACAAACCATCCCTTGTGCGAGTGGAAGCCGATCGACCCACGATCGTCAAAATTATCTCAACGTCGTCGCGAGAGGCCAGAGGTCGACAACGAAGCGTTTGTTATCTGAACACTCGACGCGCACGGTAATCTCCGGTTCATTATTATCTCGAGTGTTGCGCGATAGTGTTCGATTGTCATCTGATGTGACACTCGTGACATTCGAGATATCAGCGGGCTCCTTATCTCAAAATATACACTTGGTGGGAGATTTGTATTCTTTATACATGGTATAAATATTGAAGCGACTGCTCATTATCATAAAAACTGTGCAACGAGGCGGAACAAATTCGCGATTAGATCGTTGTAACAATTAGATCGTTGTAACAATTAACTCGTTGTAGCAAGTATATCGTTGTAGCACTTATATCATCGGAACTGTTGGATTACTTAACCGTTGAGCTCGAAGTTAGACCACCGTTAGATTCGCGTGTTGCGGAAAAATAATTCGTATCAACATCTATCGCGAAACGCACTTCGCGTTATGTCCGGCAACGCATCCGGTTCTCCCAGTGCGCAACGCGCCGCTGCACCGCTTGCAAAGTGGTCGCTTGACGCCATGCTATCTAGAATGCGCAATAACAACATGAAGTACGAACGCGCGATCAAACGCGCACGCGATCACTCCACTTCGAAATTGGTGTCCAAGTATTCGCCGTCGCCGCGGCGTGTTTCCGAACGCGAGGATGCGACAGACGATACCGAGTACGCTAAAATTGCCGAGCGATTTATGCGCGACGGTTTAAACCGAATTAACGAGAGTTATCGCAAAGTGATGCAAATGGTTGTCGAGACCACCGAAATGTGTTTGCGCAACGAGCGCGAGAGATCCGATATGCGCGTCGATCACATGGAGCAACAAATGGGTTCGCTCGTAGATCACATTCGGTACACACAGTACAAATCGTACGTGTCAAGCGACTGCGACGACGACGACGACGACGACGACGTAGACGACGCGGTAACGAACCGAGCGAGCAACGAAGATGACGTTAAACGCGACGACATCGATTGCGCGCCGATTAAAAAAAGAGCGAAGTTTAGCGACGTCTGTTCGCGCGTCATAAACAATCGAATCAACGAGACCGATGAGGTCCTTATAAAAGACCTGACGCACATCGAGTGTTTAGTGCGCGAACATCTCGCGGAATCGATTGCGGAATCTGTTGTACCAAAGGACGCCGCAGCGACCGTTGCTTCGACCGTTGCCGCTGTAGCGACCGTGGCTGCGAATTCGGTTGCGATTGATTCGAGCGCGCGCGTCGCGAATAACTCCGTCATTGCGCAGTCGTCGGTACGCGATAACAACGAGATCATGTATCCGTACAAAAAACAAACTATTTCGTCGTTGAACAAAATGCGCGAGGACGATACGGAAAGTCGCGCTGAAGAGGCGTTCAAAGCGAACGCTGCGGACAACGACACCGCAGCGAAATTGTTAAACGCAGCAACGGTGTCTCGCGACGCGATCTCTTCGGACGATTCAGATTCCGACGACAACGAAGAGGTGTCGGACAACGATCGCGAGCGTGAAATGTCCGAGAGTGACAACAATGGTAGCGACGATGACAACGACGAAGGACGGAACAACGGTGGCGAAAACGCTTCCAAAAATTGCGAAGACGAAAACGGTGAACTCGACGAGAAACGAGCTCGCCGAGATACGGACGGCGAACCGGAATCGAGCAACCGCGACGCGAGATCGATCGGTGGCGTCGGTGTTCGTTCCGAGAAGCAGACGATACCAACGGTTGTTGCGGATGCGCTCGGGGAGTACGTTCCTATTTCGTTGAAACAGCCGTCGCTGAGCGATCCGCAGTTGTACACACCGACACCTTTGATAACATTGGCTAATTCGTCGGCGTCGACGCGCGCAACACCGGTACCGATGGCGGAGACGACGTCGTCTGCTCTCGCAACCGCGACGGTCACAGCAACGATTACTTCCGTTGAAAAGTGCAACGTTGACACCAGCGTGTTCGGACTGTCGTACAAAAGTAACGTTCGACCGATCGCTCCGTTTTCGAACAAGCTGTTCTCGAAACGTTCCGTGTTTACCGATGGTGCTGATAACGACGTCGCTCCGCAAATGTACCCGAGTGCCCAAAACGATGCAGCTCCGAAAACGTACCTGAGCGCGGAAGAAGAGTTCAACCTCGCTCAAGAACGCAGCTTCGCTATATCCGAAGTTGGAAACGACGACAACGGTTGTTACTCGCCGTACTCTGAAAACACCGACGCGCCTGCGACGTCTGCGATATCGACCAAAGTTCGCGCGTTTCACCAGGACGCTGTGTCCGTGAAGGACGAGTTGCGACAACTAATGCTGCGAGTGGAGCAAAAGAGGGAAGAGTTGGAGCAACTGTCCAAAAATAATCCAACCGTGGTCGCAGGTGAGAGATTGTTACTTTCGAAAACAAATTTCCGTCGCGTCGAACGAACGTTTTGCCAATTGTACCGTAATCATTCTTTCGTTTCAGTGTCGGCTCTGAAGTCAAACGGTGCCGCGCCGACGCCGTCGATCAGCCGTTGTTCCGTGGAACTTACGCGCGACAGGCAACTGGATTCCAAGGTCACCCGTGGGTCACTGACCGCTGCGTACACTTTGGCCGAAAACGCATCGGACAACGTTGCCGATCTGTACTCCGCGAACATGTCCACGTGCAGCGACGACGAGGAGGACGGCGGTCCCATTTTACCCAGCGTGTCGAAACTAACAGCCATGGTCAAAATCGCCGCGAAGCGCAAGAGGTCTCACGCGAAGACAAACGAACCAGAGGAAATCGTGCTGTCTCAGGAATCGGTGTACAAGGAGGCTTACGTGGTACCCACGGCCAAGATCGCACCGACGCTGAAGTACTGCGACAACGTTCCAAGATTTTCTATGCTCAAGCACGAAAGCAAGAGTAGGTACAACGCGCACTGATCGCGAAACGATAAATTTGCGTTTTTTTGAAAAGATCGAACATCGTTTGTAAATTCGATCACGCACTAGTTTGTTCACGTTCGAACCATGTTTTTTCAGATATTCTCACGAGCGAACCGTTGCCGCCAAAGTCGTTGGAGTACTTTACCGACCTCAACAATCAGTGTGCGTCGATCGTAACGCCGTCGTTCTTCGCAGCTATCAATCACGACCGATATCCCGTGTACGTGTCGCTTTTAACCAAGTACACACCGATAACAGTTGCTTACAACGGTTCCACCGTTAGATTGGTCGCCGAAAAGGAAATAAAATTCCCAAAGTTCAAAACTAAGATCGAGGAAGGATTACGCGCGATCAAATGCGCACCGTTCATGCTCAACGTGCTGTACGGAGCGAAGGGTGCCGTATTGCTCGCTCACAGCACATTGAGCGTTGAAGAGTTCATAAACATTCAGGACGTCTTCGCGAAGAAGACGTGGAAGAACCGCACGTTCGATCGCTCCGACGACAACGTGTACGAGAGTATAGTAGCGCATCAGAGTTCGCACTACTGCGCGATATTTCACAGAGCGAAATTGTTCGTGGTACCGCGCGTGTTCAAGCACGTGTTTCGCATGGTGCGCGTGATGGACACCGTGTGTACAGTTTCGGCACCTTGCGACAACGGTCGCGACACGCTCGTGTACACCAACGTTCGCGTAACGCAGCACCAAAGATCGCAATTGCTGTTGAATCAATCGCAGCACGATACGGTGTACGTTGACATTTTGTTCAACGACGTGACCAGAACCAATTTGGTCAACGCCAGAGTGAGAGCCATTGTGTACAGACCCGCGGAGGACCTGACCAACTTGCTGACAACTTACGAAGCGGTGTTCGGTCAGGAGGAAGCGTTCGTTCCTCGCTTGTTTCCGTTAGCGCCGACGTCTCCTAGTTTTCACGACAACATCACGGAGGCTCAAGCGACCGAAATGGCCGTAGCTTCTATACAGGAAGACGGAACCGTTCCGGAAAACTTCGATTACAACGCGTTGGAATCCATGCTCGAGGACGCTTGATCGCTTCGGTTGCGAAGTCGAACGCTTCGGCGACGATACCGGTGTGCACTGCTTGTTAGGTTAGGTTGCTCGTGGTGAATCGCTGCATCGATTACTCGCGAAGCGCGCTCGTGCCATATTTTTAGGTTACGTCAGTGCGAAGACGCACTCGCGACATATTGTTTGTTATTCGTTTGCGCGTCGAAGCGCGAATACGCAAAACTTCAACAGGTTGTGATATACGAGACAAATTGTTGTATTGTACAAATTGAAATATATTGTTGCAAAAAAAACTTATAGCATCACTTTGTATTTCCATTCATCGCGTAGCGAGGCGTATCGTTCCAACGATCGCACTTTGCGCATCCGACAACGTACGCGTACAGTTGTCGTGTGCGTGCGCAAAAGTGCGATGTTGCTCATCGCGCGAACGAATTGAGCAACCATTGAACGTTTGTGGACACGTCCGACAACAATTCTACAGCGAACGCTCTCTTGCGCATACTGTTCAAACACCTCGACGCGAATCGCAGCATGCCGTTGTCGAAGTTGCTCGCCGAAAACTCGGCACCGTTGTAATCGTGATACATAACGCTCGGCGCGGAATCGGTGTCCCACGCGTGACCCATACCGAACGCGTGACCGATATGATGCGACAGATGATGCAGCATGTTCCACGTCACGTTGCCGCTGTCCCTGTGAGGAGTGTACCACCACGGACCGTTCGCGTCCATGTAGAGCCTGTTGCCCACGAGTTTGGAACCGTTGAACAACTCGCACACGTAAACGAATCGAGCCGATGGATACGTCTTCGGCCACGTTCTCTTGTCACCGAATATCACGTACATGTGCGGCAATCGGTCGTCGTGGTCGAACGACGCCGCAACGTTTCGAATCGAACCGTCGTTCGCGACGTCGAGCCGCATGCACGAGTCGCCGCACTCGGATCCGAAAACGCGATGCTCCGAAGCACCGATGCGCACGCCGGTTCTCCAGGATCTCCCCGCTTCAGAAACAACGCCGACGATTCGCTCGACCAGTTCGTTGCGTTTCGCGAGTCGTTCGGACACCAACGAGTTCGCGACGATGGTCTCCACGGTCAATTGACGCGGAAGACCGATTATTCGAACGCGAAACTCTTGCCGTTCGTCGTTGGAACTCGGAAGAACGTACATTCTTTGATTCGCGAACGTGTAATTGTACTCAGGAGAATAGTAATCAGCGCACAGGTGCACGTGCGCCACGGACGACTTCTCGCGTTCGCTTTCGGCGACGTTGTAATCGCGTCGCGTCGAAACGACGCGAGGGTAACAGCTCACCGTTGTCGCGGACAACGTCGATACGAGGACGACGATTCGAACGAACGCTATCGCGCCGTTTTCGAACATGTTTGCGATTTAACGAGACGCGAACGATTTCGTTGGTTTGAATTATATCGATCGACGCAGCGTTTTCGAAATAGCGGGATCGATGCGCAGCGTTTTCGATCGAGTCAACCGCGATCGGTTATTCGATTTCGGAAACGTCGCTGTTGCGATTAACCGCGCTAAGATCGAACGCTGAGATAACGCGCGATTCGTTAGGTTGCGACGAAGCAATTGTTCGCGAGTTCGCGCAACGATACGCGACTTCGCTGATCGTTCGAGCGAGAAAAGTCGCGACAATGGCGATCGTTAATCCAGCCGCGATAGCGCTACTGGTCGCTATCGCGACCATGTCGCCTCCGAAGTCAAGCGTGACGCTTTGGGAAACGATCGCGTCTTCGCGGTGCTCCGTTGAAGCGATTCCAGCCGCGCGATTTCGCGACGACGATCGAACGTACTCGTATTACGACAACGAAACCGAAACGACGATATTGGAGTTGGACGGTTCGCGACGAATAGAGTACATGCGGTTCGGTTCGTTCGATATCAGAATCGTGGTCGAGAACGTTCCGGTTGGCGTTATCGTCGAAGTCGCGCCGCGGAGGTTCGCTGTGGAACGCGCCGTCGATTCGGTGCGACGCGTGGTCGAGCGCGCCGCGAGGGAGACCGTTCGACAACATCTGCGCGACGTTCCCAACGTTGCTGTGGAAACAACGGAGGACTCGTCAAGCGCCAACGTGCTGCTGACGTTCGTGGACGTTGAGTTCGAGCGCGACACCGAATCGACTCGCGCGCAATTCGCTAGACCGAAGTACTGCGCGTTAAACGACAACGTGTCGAGGCACACCTTGCGCCTTCGCGAGCGACGGTCTGTGTGGTTGGAACGGGATACACCCGAGCACGCGAACGCGTCGTTGCTCCTTCTGGGCAAGATCGCTCCCAGCTTATCGCGCGCCATAGGTCACAACGTTCCTCATTTGATTGGAATCGATCGCGTCTCTTGTTCCGATAAAGATTCGACGGACGAGTACGACTCGTGCGAGACGGAGCGGCGAGTCGTGCGACGCTTTTTAACAGATCGCCACATGACGCCGCGCATAGCCGACTGGACCGATGAAACCAACGCTCTCGGGCGCGTACGCGGCATAAGCGAAGTGGTGCGAAAATTGAACGCGCTAGTATTCGGCGTGACTAACAACGTTTGGAACCTGTGGGTGGCTGAGAGAGAATCCGGATAGTAATTCGAAACGAAGCGCGATCGCTCGATCGCTCGAAGCGAAGATCCGTTGCCGCGAAAACGATGAGCGACAACGCGGCGACAGACTCGTCGCCTGTGTCGCTGTTCGTTCGCGCGATTCGCGCGCTAACGGAGCCGGGTAGATCGTTGAACGCGAACGAAGCCAACGCGCTGGCGCGAGAATGGGTTCTGTTGAACGCATCGTCGTGCGACGGTTCGTCGTCGTCGTTGCTCAACGGTTCGTCGTCGTCGTTGCTCAACGGTTCGTCTCGAACGGCAACAATGCGCGTATGCGCTTCGCGCAACGTTGTTTCCGCAACCGCAACGGACGCTTCGGAGCACGCGACGTTGACGAAGCTGCGAAACGAGTTATTGATCGCTCCGAGAATCGCGAGCGACGTTAGGTTCGTCGACGAGACAACGGTGATTCGAGAACTCGAGTCGTTCGCACCCAGGGTGCGTTCGCTCGACGAGTACTTTGAGAGAACGCTGTCGCGCGTGTTCTCGGGCAAAAATCTCGCTGTTGCGAAGCACGTTCTCGCGAACGACGCTAAGCGTTTTCGAAACTGCGAGAACGTTTCCAGAGAACGTTCGTTCAGCCGCGAACGAACCGTTTGCGAAAACGGTTCGAAAAATGCGACAGCGATCGTTCTCAGCGACGTCGCATTGTTTGGAAAATCCGAACTGTACGCGACAAACGTGTACGTGCGAACAACGAGCGAATTCGATTCAACGAACGCCAAACTCGCGACGAAACTGGACAATGGCGCAATCGCGTTGTGGCAACCGCTGAGGTCCGCGTTCGCGACGCGCGCGATCAGCGCCGCGTGTTGCGTCAAACCGAATCATCTCAGATTGTACGTTTCGCGCAACGGTGCGACAGCGATAACCTGGGGAACGACTTCCAAAACCGCGTTCGAGCGAAACCTGACGCGCCTGGCTAAAAAGATATCAGCGTCGTACGACGAAGTGCCCGGTGGGTCCGACGCAGCGGTCGTTGTTTCGGAAACACCGTTGTACTCGAGCGCGCGACTCGAGGTCAGCGACGCGCTCTCCGGCGCGTACGTGAAATCTTTCGCCGTTTACTCGTCGTGGGACGAATTGTCGACGTTTCGAGCATTCGTATCGCGACTATTCTCTCCGTCGGAGCGGTACGAAAAGTATTGCACGCTTTACGCTTTGTGTCTAAACGCGACACTTCGCGATTTCGATCACGGATTCTTCGTACCGTCGTCGTTGAAATTGCGCGAAGACGTCGTAGTGGAGAGCGCGATCGCGCTTCCTTCGTTCGAACGATTCGATCGTTTCAAAAATCGAAGCGACGTCGCGAACGAAGCGTTCGTCGGATCGTGCCAGAGGCAAGCGGTGGCGAACGTTATGGCGCGATTCGAGTTCGATCTCTATACGCGTTACACCGACGGCGTCAGCGCACTGCGCTGCGCGTTTCGAGACGTGGAGTCGTTTCGCGACGCGTCCGCGAACAGATCGCTCGCATTCGGAACGCGAGAAACGGCGATCGATCGAACGCGCGTGCGAACGTTCGCGTTCGCGTCTTTCAGCGACAATATCGTCGGCGAATGGCGCTTCGTTAGATCGAACGTCGACGCCAACGACCTCAATGTGTACATGTGCAAAACGGAGAACCACGCGTGCAGCAAACTGTGCTCGATGTCGCGATGCGCCAAAGCGATTCGCAAGATCTATAGAGTCGACGTCTTAGCCACGCGTCCCACGGACCTCGCTTGGCTGTGTCCGCAGGAAGACGCGTCGTCGTACGCACCCGCGTTTCCAAAAGCGCCGAACGTCGTTCCGTTCGCTAAAAACGAGTCGACCAACGACGTCGCAACCGACGCGTTGTTCAACGAACTGACCGCGTCGTTGAGAAGGTACAAGTGCGCCAGATTGTGCAAGAGAATCAACACGTTCGAACTCACCGTGTCGACCACCAGAGGCGACATATCGATCGAATTCGTACCGAGGTGACGATTCCGAAACGCTCGATACTAGACGAGAGTTTGCCGATATGCGCAAGGAACAAATGTATCGCTTGATGTGCAATAAATATACAATCGTTACGTTTTATCAATCGTGTGTTTATTGTTTCTTACTCGCAAACCGAATATATTTTACAGGTGTGCGATCTGACGCCAATAGGTGCGATCGTTGCGCAACGTTTTCTCGTTCGAAACGAAACGTTCGCGCAACGATTACAATTCGGAACTGCGCTTTACGCGACGCTTCTTGCGTGGTACAACAGGCGCGGCAGCGTCTTCGAAAGGTGACATCGGTGCGATATTAGCCGGTTGTTCGCTGCGTACGTCTCTCGCGTCCAACGATTCCACGGGTGTAAATTCGGATGAAACGGTTGTTCCCTCGACCGCTGCATTGACAGCGTCGCGGTCGCTGGTGGTGTTATCGTTGACAAACGACGGTGTTGATTCGTTGGAACCGGACGACGCGGCGGTGTTTTCAGAATCGACCGAGGTCTCGATTGACGCGGCGGTGTTTTCGGAATCGACCGAGGTCTCGATTGCCGCAGCGGTGTTTTCGGAATCGACCGAAGTTTCGGTTACCGCAACGTCGTTGTTACCGCGGTGCACGGACGCAACGGTTGCTTCGTTCGAAGCGTTTGATTCGATCGATTTATCAACTTCTAACGATCGAGCGAAATCGCTCGTTCCCGAACCCATTGTTGCTTCGGAAACCGTTGACTCGACTTCTATGCCGTTTGGAACGGACGCTTTGTCGTCGATCGCGCGATCCGCAACAATCGCAGCTTCGCTCGCAGCGGATTCCTTGTCTTCGATCGCGCGATTCGCAACAATCGTAGCTTCGCTCGTGAAAACGGAGCGATCGGTGTTATCGGTGTTCGCGGTTGAATCGGTGTCCGAGCGCGCCGTTCCTTGCGAAACGATCGGTTCGATGTAGCCGCCGAGTGCGACCGTATCTTCGGTAACGACAACTGGTTGTTTCGTCGAATCAACTTTGGATACCGCTGTTGCAACAGAGGTCAATTGCGAGTCCATAGTAAAATCGTTCGACGCGATTGGCGAAGCGTTCGAATTCTCACCTGTTTCAACTTTCGCACCTCGGGACAAATCGCGCCGTTTTAAAGATTCGCGATAACGTTGTTCCTCAAGGGCCTCTTGTTCCAACAAGCGTTCCATTTTTCGACGTTGTTCCTCGTACTCCTCCAGCATGCGTTGACGTTCGCTTATATTCGCGCTCGAGGGCGCTACGGGTGTCGCGCTCGAGGGCGCTACGGGTGTCGCGCTCGCGGACGCTACGGGTGTCGCGCTCGCGGACGCTACGGGTGGCGCGCTCGAGGGCGCTACGGGTGTCGCGCTCGAGGGCGCTACGGGTGTCGCGCTCGAGGGCGCTACGGGTGTCGCGCTCGAGGGCGCTACGGGTGTCGCGCTCGCGGACGCTACGGGTGGCGATGGTGTACCAAGTTTATCAAATTTATCGCACGTGCACAATTTAGCGTCGTGTTTGCACGCAGCGCACCGTGCCGCGTCGTTCTCTGATATCGATTCGATGCGCGGAAACGATCCGTTTGCAATCGTTGGCTCGTTTCGATCGAGTGTCGTCGCAACGTCGACTCCGTTGCTTCGACCGCGAACGTTGTTGATGCTAGTTGGTGACTTCGTTAACGGTTCTATCGACGCTGCCGACGATTGCGCACCTGTGTCCGACACGGTTGCGATCGAATCATTCGTGGCGTTTGTCAAAACCGCGCGATTCGCAAATTCCATTTCGTCCGCGAATCGCACGGTTATGCCGGTTGTCGAAAGCGGTTCGACGTCGTCTTCGTTTTCGTTCCCGGATTTGTCGTCGACGTCGTTGTTGGTTCGATCGGTACTTGCGGACGAACGCGTCACCGAAACGCTATCGACGTTCGAAGCGTCAGCTGCGCGCGGAGCGCTCGAGTCGTCGTCGCCGCGGCACGCTTCGCACTTGTCGCAAGTGCACGCTGTCGAACACTTGTCAACAATTCGACGTTTCGACGATTGCGTAGATACGTCCGAGCGAGCTCGCTTGCGTCTGGAGAGCACTCGATCGGTCGGACCGATCGTTGTTCCAGCGGACGGCGAATCGTCGAGGTTGTACGCGGACGGATCATCCGCCATCATCATCGCTTCGGCTCCGGATATAGCACTGATCTTGTCAGCTACAACGCGCTCGCGTTTGCGCCGTTCGTTGTCCTCGGCTTCTCTGCGACGTTCGCGCTCCGATTCCTCGTTTCTGCGACGTTCGCGCTCCAACTCTTCGCGTTGAGCGTCTATCGCGAAATACCGTTTAGCAACGGCGTCGGGTTTAACGTACAGAGGATTTTCTTTGGCGTTGCGACTCAATTTCTTCAACGGTACGGTTCTGTCGGCGATTTCGATCGTGTGCGGGTTTTCTGCGTTGTTCGCGTTGCGCGATCTTCCCGAAGATCTGTACAGATTCGTCGCGTATGCTCCATTTGGGTCCTTCGACGAAGCTGAAACATTGAGAGCAAATTCGTTCGAATTCGTCGCGTTCGAAAGTATAGAATTCGCGGTTACGTCGGGCTCTTTCGCAGTCGCGTCTGAAAACGCGCTCGCGTCGCGACGACGCGAGTTGAGCGCGTCGCTACCGTACGCGTCGTTGCCACTCGCGTTGTTATCGAACGCGTCGTTGTCCGAAAGAATCAACTTCGGCGCGACTACGTAGACTCGAGACAAATTCGGCGTTGGTGATACGGTTCTACCGTGCTCACCGTACGCACCTGCGTCGTCTAATTTGGAAACGTCGTTCGGGTCTTCGTTGTCGTCGTCGTCTTCGCTACTCTGTCCGTGTTTGTCTTTGTCTCGCCGTTCGCGCTCCTTTCGTTCGGCTTCGCGAGCCCGTTTTCGCTTCAGTACCGAAACGTAACCGTTCAAACGTCGTTCCGCGTCGTTTTTATTACCGCATATAACTCGCGTGAACACCAGAGCCAATATCGATCCCACTACCACGAACAGCAACAGCGTCACGAACACGTTGGACATTTCGCTTCGTTTCGCGACAAATTAATCACCGGCAGATACAACGATTCGTTGGTTAGTGCAACAAGGATGCAAAGATTGTCAACGGTGTTCTACGGTGCGAATCTCGTTCGTCGTTGCACGCGCGATCGAGCGAGTTAGAAAAAAACGTCGGTGAAATCGTTCGTGCTGCGTGCTTAGAACACATCGGTTTCCAGAAACGAACGCTTCTTAGCGAACGTTCCGATCGCGCGATCGTTCAACGTTTTGACTGAAGCGTTCCGTGTCATTTCGGCGTTGAACACCAAATCGGTCAACGGTTGTTCCGTACTGAATCGCACGAGTTGCTTGCGAACGGACAGTTCGACGTTCAGCAAAACGGCCAGCACACTCACGGCTCTGCGCGTCAGACCGGTTGACGCGTTTCCACCTAGCGTGCGAGTTGTGCAGCACGCGCAATCGTTCACCGTTAGGCGTTCGTCTCTGATTGTTTCGGACAGAACAACGGTTCGTTGCATGATCGTTGGATTCCATCGAAGAAACAAAATTCCGCTCGCTGCGTTCAACCACGCTCCGCAGGAACCGTCCGTCGACGTCAGCAACTTGGTTCGCTCAACGTTGTACACCACGGCGAAGTACGTCGCTACGGCGTAAGCCAACCAGTTGTCGCTTCTCGCGGAACACTTGGACAGTGCTCCGCGAACGATGCGCAATCTTCGTCGCAATTCCGATCCCACGTCGCATTCGTTGTTGTCGAAGCGCACGTATATCGTTCGCGACGGACACGTCGACCTTTCATTTACCGATTGCAACGAATACAGATCGAGTCGTCGCGACGCCGTTACCGAAGCGTTCATTGTTTGTAAATAAAAAACGAACCGTTGCCAGATAAAGCGTTACGTTCTCGCAAAGAGCAACGCGACGTCGCGAAGCGATAGCTACTTCGCGACGTTGAACAATCGCTCCGGTAACGCGCCTACGCTGAGACAACCTGCGATGCACTCGTGTACCGCGTCAACTGCCGTACAGGCAGGCGCAACACATGCGCGCAGTAAGCCGCGTCCGCGACGCTGTTGCGTTTGAGCGAGTACCACGGTTTCAACGGTCGAATATATTTCTCGTTCTCTCCTCCTGAACACTCTTCGCACAATACCGGTGCGGCGCGCGTTGTTGCTCGACGCGATCGATTCGCGCGAAAATTTCGATTCGGCGACTCGGATACCGCGTTGGGTTCGCGGTTCGAAGTTCTACGGGTTGCAACGGCAACGAATCGCTTCGCGCGATCGATCAATCGCTCGCAGAGCAACAATTGTCGCGCGCAAAGTCTCGTGTCGAACGTTAGAAACAAGCGCAGAAACTCGTCGCGTCTGTTGTTCGACGATCGTTTCGATGCGCCGCGAGAATTATCGTTCGCAAAGCGCGCGTTGCGACTGATAAATCCATTGAAGCAAACGTAGCGTTCGTCGTTCATTAAACGCGAGTGTTTTGGTTTCGAGATCGCGACAGAATCGAACGACTCGCTCATTTCTAGTAGCAAACGCAACGTTCTGGACATTGAGCTAGTATCAACGGTGTCGCTGTTAGATTCGTCGTCGTTGTCGGAAACGTTATCGTCCGCGTCGAACCACGAAAATGTTTTCACAACGAATCAACCCTTCGAGATCAGCAGCTTCTTCGCAATCGACCACTGCGCGTTCAACAGTTCGTAATTGATTGCGGCGGTTTGTCGTTTCGCGTTGGTCGCGGCGCCATCCGCGAGAACAACGTCCATTTTACCGAGAGAACACTCGCGCGCGAATTGCCTGTTCGACGTCAACTCCTCGTCGAATTCGCGCGCGTCGCAAACAAACACTCTAACGGGACATATCGATCGCCGGCGAACCGTTACCGGCAAACCGCCTCTGTCCGTTGACAAAGTTAATCCGAAGCACTTGGACGACCACGGTCTCGACAAAAACACGTAGTCCAAGAAACCGCCGGGTGCGCAACACAGATCCATAATTTTCACAACTTTGTTGTTCGGGAACAACCACTCGAGATCGCGCGACAATTCGGCCAGTTTGACCGACGCCGCGTTGACCACGCGTGCGAATTTGTGACCGACGTGTCCGAGGTGCTTCGCGCTTCGAAATACGCGTTTGTTACGAAACACCGCGTCTCGTCGCTGGTTCAACCAGCGACGCAACGTCGCGGCGAACGAGCAGCGTAGTCGCAACGAAGCAGCGTCGTCGCAATTTGTTTCCAATTCGATCGATCGTGGATTATTCGATGCGTTCGATCGCTGTTTCTCCGATCGCGGTTCCAACAGATTGCAACGACAGCACTCTCTGAACACAGCGTTCGCTAAAGCGTCCTCAACGTACGTCGCGAACGATTTGCGCTCGTTTCTCGACGTCGCGTTTCGCGTCGCCATCGTTGACCGCAGGGTGCGAACAATGAACGAACGTTGACCACAGGGTGCGAACAATGAGCGAGCGTTGACCACCCACACGGTGCGCTAACAATAAACGTATAAATATAACGCTTGCAACAACGGTGTATTTAGTACGATTCGAACGTTTTGATCTATAATCGATCTCGATCGATTCGACGCAACGCGACACATGGAACCGCGTTGCTTTATAAAACACACGGTGGATGAAACGTATCGCGAATTGTTAAATATTTCTCTTCCCGTTGCGATCGTTGTTCCGCACGAAGTATCCGCGGAACACAGAAACGATTTGCCGTTCGCAACGGTGGTTTCAAAAGCGAGAGCCCTGCGAGCGTCGTCGTACTTCGGACTGTGCGAGGAATTTGTTCGCGGTAACGATCGCGTTGCCGTTGTTACGTCCGTTCGAAACTTACCGGTGCCCAACGTGTGTCGATTAACGAGCGTGCGTTACGTAGCTATACCGTACGATCGCGCGGAACCGCGTAAACTATTCGGAAACGGATTCGACGTCGTTTCGATTTTGGAAACGTCGCCGTCGCGCAGCGCGTGTTTAGAACAGTGCGCAGCGAACAAAGGTGTGAAGATCAACACATCACTTGAGCGTTGTTCGATCGGTGTTCCCGCAAACGCGACTGTCGCTGAAATCCCGTTGTTCTCGATTAACCCCGATCACGACGATGTTGCGCAATCGATCGGAGAGCGGTCGTCGGAACGTTGCGGAACCAGTACCGAGCGAATTCGTCGCTACGCGTGGAACAACGAGCTCGAGCTTTACGATTGTCAAGTGTTATTCGGTGCTCGAGTACACGAAATTCATACTGGAGATGTTGAACGAACGCAACGCGCGAATTTTGCGCAACAGTCGCGAAACGTATCTGAGAAATTTGTCGAACGGTTCTCGAGCTAGACGCCTCGTGCAAAGAATCGCTCGCCGAGAGAAACGACGCGGCAAGAGCATTACGGATGATCGCGCTGCCAAAAGCGAGCAAATAATCGATATGCTGCGCACGTTGAACGAAGACGTTTGGTTTTACGACGACGTGAGTTTGCGACAGTGCGAGAGATCCCTCGAGAATCTGTTGCGAGCCAAACTGACCAGAGCGATCGAGCAGAAGCTGTTTGATCAGTACATGCACGTGGCCGGTAGAGTGATGATCTACTTCACCAAAATGAACAAAGACGACGCGGATTCTTCGCTCGAAGAATTTTCGAATCGCGATATCGGCGACGACGACGCCGCTAACGAGTTCGGAAATCGCATCGCTACCGTTCGCGCGTTCGACAGATTGAACGCGCTGTACATAGCTAAACTCGAGAAGATTGTAACCATGCGTGATATGTACACCGCTTACGTGAACCGCTACCGCACCTTGGACGAACGGTTCTTCGACTTTTTGGTGCAACGAAACGTGCATTGCATATCGGGTACGTTTTACATCGACGTGCTCGTGCACTGTCTCAATTACTCTCCGTCCATCACGCTGTCTCACATGTTTCGCGACGTGTTCCAAAACGCGTTCGCTCTCGAAGACGTGTGCACCTTCGTGTCGACCACCTGTCGCCAGGACGGCGCGACCGACGATTTGTTTCTGCAACGTACGTTGTACATACTGAACAGATACGTTCAACTTGGATCCAAGGCGTCCAGGTCCATATTGACGGAGTTGTGCTGCGACGACGGATTGCTGTACCCGTTGTGTTCTAGACGACGAAGCAAAACGTCGCTCGGCAAATTACCCGATACGTGCAAATTGAAGCACGGCGTATGCACGAAATGCGACGTGCTCATGGAGTCTATGTACGAACCACCCAACATTGTCGGAGCTATGTACGACTATCTGCACTCACTGGCCGTACCCGTTGATTCCATGCCGCGCGTAAACGACAGCGAGTTCGAATTCGACGCCATTGTGCAGGTTTTGGCTGCGAACAGATCGGGTGTAGCTAGTTCTCTGTTCAACGCGGTCAATATATTGCACTGGCGTTGCGACGACGCAACGTACATCGACGCCGCTTCGGCGTCAGTGGTGCAAATTCCAGCCAAGGAAAAATTTAGCGATTACGTCTACATGGCTCTGCGAGTGGCCATGTGCGAAAAAACGCGCGCTGAGCAGCAATCGGAAATCGAGCGAGAAGACGACGTCGTTCTCGGAAATCGTTCGAATTCCGAAAACGAACCGTTCGATCGAACGATCGCCGAGAGCGACGGTTCGTTCTCGGAAACGGGAGCCGTCGCGGTTCGACGAGGCCAACGCGGCGAACGTTCTCAGCGAAACAACGGAAGGAGCGGCGGTGGGAGAGGAAGCAACGGCGGCAACGCGAAAAAAATTGTACACGAATTGTGCGCCGGAATGGTACGTCGGTTTCAAGAATTTCGATCGGCCACTTCTCAGAGTTCGAGATTGAACGGTTTGGGTAAAGCGGGTGATGACGGGGCCAAACGAGGCGCCACATCAACCAAGTTCGTGCATTACAACGACAACGTGTCGCCTCAAAAACTGATGTACAATCTATACCTGGAGCGATTCGAACTAGTTACACCCAACGTTGTCGCGATGCTCACGATAGATTACTCAGATTTCGATCCTCC